AAATCAAAATATATTTTATATTTGAGATTCTTCAAACAGCCACACTTTGACTTGACGACAGCTTTGCACACTCTTGGCATTCCCTCAACCAGGTTCAACTGGAATGATTTTCCGACAGTCTTGAAGGAGTTACCACATATGCTGAGCACTGCTTTTCCTTCACTCTGCCGTCCGACTCATCCCAAACCATCTCAATTGGGTTGAGGTCGGGGGATTGTGGAGGCCAGGTCATCTGATACAGCACTCCATCACTCTCCTTCTTGGTAAAATAGTCCTTACACAGCCTGGTGGTGTGTTGAGTCATTGTCCTGTTGAAAAACAAATGATAGTCCCACTAAGCCCAAACCAGATGGGATGGCGTATCGCTGCAGAATGCTGTGGTAGCCATGCTGGTTAAGTGTGCCTTGATTTCTAAATAAATCACAGACAGTTCCACCAGCAAAGCACCCCCACACCATAACACCTCCTCCTCCATGCTTTACGGTGGGAACTACACATGCGGAGATAATCCGTTCACCCACACCGCGTCTCACAAAGACACAGCGGTTTGAACCCAAAATCTCAAATTTGGACTCCAGACCAAAGGATACATTTCCACCGGTCTAATGTCCATTGCTCGTGTTTCTTGGCCCAAGCAGGTCTCTTCTTATTGGTGTCCTTTAGTAGTGGTTTCTTTGCAGCAATTCGACCATGAAGGCCTGATTCCCACAGTCCCCTCTGAACAGTTGATGTTGAGATGTGTCTGTTACTTGAACTCTATGAAGCATTTATTTGGGCTGCAATTTCTGAGGCTGGTAACTCTAAAGAACTGATCCTCTGCAGCAGAGGTAACTCTGGGTCTTCCATTCCTGTGGTGGTCCTCATGAGAGTCAGTTTCATCATAGCGCTTGATGGTTTTTGCGACTGCACTTGAAGAAACTTTCAAAGTTCTTGAAATGTTCCATATTGACTGACCTTCATGTCTTAAAGTAATGATGGACTGTCGTTTCTCGTTGCTTATTTGAGCTGTTCTTGCCATAATATGGACTTGGTCTTTTACCAAATAGGGCTATCTTTTGTATACCCCCCCTACCGTGTCACAACACAACTCAAATATAAAATATATTTAGATTTGTTTAACACTTTTTTGGTTACTACATGATTCCATATGTTTTATTTCATAGTTTTGCTGTCTTCACTATTATTCTACAATGTAAAAAATAGTAAATGAATGAGTAAGTGTGTCCAAACTTTTGACTGGTACTGTATATACAGTGCTGAGTTACCTCAAGATGAGGTAAAGTTGATTAAGGCCATCGCACGTGTATATCAGGTGGCCATGGAGGAAGAAGGAGATGTGGAGCGAAGTGAAAATGACATGGCTTGGGATCACCTCTTATAACCTGTGGCCGGATGGGGAAGACTGGGTGAAAGGATGAGGATGTTTTTTAGGGCCTTCATTTTTGTGGAACCCAGCAGAAAAGTATCCTGAAGGCATAGTCAGGTGAAGAGAGATTTGGAATCATCATGTTATCAAACTTCGGGTTGTCTTTGCACATATAATGATGCATAGCTTAACACATTATTAATACTGTTATGTTTTGTGTTTCTTTTTGCTTTTCAAGTCTTGTGCTATCACTCTCTTAGGAACCAGAAGCTGAAAGGGAGGAAGCCAAAAGCTCCAGCTCCAGCTGACATGTTATTATACGAGAGATGGAAATAAGTGTGCCTAGTTTAATTATAGATCAGAGGCCATAAGTCTCAGAGGTGAAAACATAATAATCAATTGTGAATGTTAATCATATGTTATTTCTTGTTCATATTTTATTTTCATTTTTGTTCATTTATAAGTAATTTCCAAGTTTATATAATGTTGAACAGTATGGAGTTAATGTTCAAAAGGGGGACTGATGGGTTCTGACTTATAAAAAGGCAATATCCTCATTCATGTCACTAAGGGAGAGAGAGGAATGCAGGACGTTTACATTGTGTCAGAACATGTTACTGTTAATCATCAGGGATCCTATGGGAAGGAGGAGGGCCACAGTCTGGTACAAGTCAACAGGACAGCCCTGAGTTGGGGAAGAGTGAGGAATTTGGGTCGAGGTCAGGGCAGATGAAGTGACAAAGAACAGGCATCACTAAAGTCCTGTCTAGCAACAGAGATGTATTGGCTGTCCAGATGTGTAAGGAGGAGACTCAGCATAGGAGAAAGGTTTAAATGACAGTGCTTGGTGAATATGTCTTTGTCTGTTCAGCTGTCTGCCCCATTTGGGTGAATAAACTTGGTTTGAGCTTTACTAATCGTCTGAGTTTTTACTCTTTATTTAGAACTGAACAGTAGTAATTTTGCTTAATATTGAGATGTGACAGCTGTCACTCCCCTTACTGTAAGCTTAAATCAAAGTTAAAAATATTTCTCTACAGTCAATGATGCTGCAGCTAGTGTCGTTACCATGGCAATTTCAATGGAGGCACCTAGCCCCAAATTAGCAACGAAATCATAGTGTTCAAAATCTAAATGTTAAAAGTGGAAATGTTTAAATGACAAACACCCAGATCCTATATCTGGAGTTTGTATAGATCGTTTTATTTGAATTAGCTTGTAAAATGATTCCATTTAAAGCACCTCTAAAGTAAATGCTTTAAAAGTATGAGAACAACCATAATTCATACACATACAGTGGCTTGCGAAAGTATTCACCCCCCTTGACATTTTTCCTATTTTGTTTGTATCATTTGATTTACACAACATGCCTACCACTTTGAAGATGGAAAATATTTTTTCTTGTGAAACAAACAAGAAATAAGACAAAAAAACAGAAAACTTGAGCATGCATAATTATTCACCCCCCCCAAAGTCAATACTTTGTAGAGCCACCTTTTGCAGCAATTACAGCTGCAAGTCTCTTGGGGTACGTCTCTATAAGCTTGGCACATCTAGCCACTGGGATTTTTGCCCAATCTTCAAGGCAAAACTGCTCCAGCTCCTTCAAGTTGGATGGGTTCTGCTGGTGTACAGCAATCTTTAAGTCATACCACAGATTCTCAATTGGATTGAGGTCTGGGCTTTGACTAGGCCATTCCAAGACATTTAAATGTTTCCTCTTAAACCACTCAAGTGTTGCTTTAGCAGTATGCTTAGGGTCATTGTCCTGCTGGAAGGTGAACCTCCAGCCCAGTCTCAAATCTCTGGAAGACTAAAACAGGTTACCCTCAAGAATTTCCCTGTTTTTAGCGCCATCCATCATTCCTTCAATTCTGACCATGCTTCACTGTGGGGATGGTGTTCTCGGGGTGATGAGAGGAGTTGGGTTTACGCCAGACATAGCGTTTTCCTTGATGGCCAAAAAGCTCAATTTTAGTCTCATCTGACCAGTGTACCTTCTTCCATATGTTTGGGGAGTCTCCCACATGCCTTTTGGTGAAAACCAAACGTGTTTGCTTATTTTTTTCTTTAAGCAATTGCTTTTTTCTGGCTACTCTTCTGTAAAACCCAGCTCTGTGGAGTGTACGGCTTAAAGTGGTCCTATGGACAGATACTCAAATCTCTGCTGTGGAGCTTTGCAGCTCCTTCAGGGTTATCTTTGGTCTCTTTGTTGCCTCTCTGATTAATGCCCTCCTTTCCTGGTCCGTGAGTTTTGGTGGGCGGCCCTCTCTTGGCAGGTTTGTTGTAGTGCCATATTCTTTCCATTTTTTAATAATGGATTTAATGGTGCTCCGTGGGATGTTCAAAGTTTCAGATATTTCTTTATAACCCAACCCTGATCTGTACTTCTCCACAACTTTGTCCCTGACCTGTTTGGAGAGCTCCTTGGTCTTCATGGTGCCGCTTGCTTGGTGGTGCCCCTTGCTTAGTGGTGTTGCAGACTCTGGGGCCTTTCAGAACAGGTGTATATATACTGACATCATGTGACAGATCATGTGACACTTAGATTACACACAGGTGGACTTTATTTAACTAATTATGTGACTTCTGAAGGTAATTGGTTGCACCAGATCTTATTTAGGGGCTTCATAGCAAAGGGGGTGAATACATATGCACGCAACCACTTTTCCGTTATTTATTTTTTAGAATTTTTTTAAACAAGTAATTTTTTTCATTTCACTTCACCAATTTGGACTATTTTGTGTATGTCAATTACATGAAATCCAAATAAAAATCTATTTACACCAAGGGGGATGAATACTTTTTCAAGGCACTGTAAAGGGACCCATGAACATTCATTTCAGATGAAAAAATGCAAATATCACATGAAAATAAATGGTATAACACCCTTTGGTATCAAATATAAACCATCAAAACGTTATATATTGTTCTTATACACAGCAGCATATACTGTACAGTAATATCTAGATCACGTGTTAAACTCATTCCACAGAGGGCCGAGTGTCTGCAGGTTTTCACTCCTCCCTTGTACTTGATTGATCAATTCAGGTCATTGATTTGTTAGGAACTCCCTCACCTTGGTGTCTAGGTCTTAATTGAAATAACAAAAAACAGCATTCACTCGGCCCTCCATGGAATGAGTTTGACACCCCTGATCTAGATGTTGTCAACTGATATTGACTCAGAGGGCAAGTCAGTTTTTGTATTCAGCACAATTGTTTGAGTGAGCTAGAATCAAGAACAGATGTGACACAGTACCAAGTATAATATTATACAGAAAATGGGGCATATGGATTATGATTTAGGGCAAGTGTCAACTGATATATTGGGGTTTAAGAGTTTCAACAGTGAGTGTGAAACACAATCCTTTATTTAGAGGAATGAAAGCCAGATGTGGCACTGTGGCTAGAGGAGTGGATATAAATGGTGAAGACGGAGGTTCACCTCAAATCAAACTCTGTCATGTCAAATGTATTTATACTTTAGAAGTTGAACAGAGACAGTATATTGTGTGGATATTGTGTGTATCCTGCTACAAGCAGTAAGAGAAATATGCAGGCTGCATTCTCAAATGAAAGGGAAAGATTGGCACTATTTCATTTTAGCTGTGAAAACATCTGTTTAGATTGATTTAGTTCTCTGGTCCAAACACCCTCGGTTTTGATTGACTCACCTTTTGGCAGATCTCCATGTGCTTCTTGAGGCCTGAGACGGTCTTTCTTGTGACAATGGAGCAGGTAGGACACACCACCTCCCCCCGCTCTGTAATGGCATGCTGCCACTGGGCCTCTGCTGGAGTACCTGGGGGATATATCAATCAATCAACTAATCAATCAACCAAGCAATCAACCAATCGATCAATACTTTATATTGTGAAAATTGATCACACAAAGTGGTTCAACGTGTGTACCAGGGAAACATTTGGAAGATGGAATATGTCTTGTCAATCAACAGAAATTCACAAGTAGTCCAGAACAGCCATATTAGTACCAGAGGTGAGGGGTGGTGGGTCTCTCCTGGAGGCTGGACCGGGGTGCTTCCCCTGGGGCTCCTCGCTAAACAAACCCCCTTCTAATCTCTTCACACGACCAGCCTTCAGCTTCTCCTCTACCTTGTTCATACCTGAAACATACAGAATGTATGACTGAGTGTACCAAAGGAGGTTGGTGGCACCTTAATTGGGGAAGACGGGCACTTGGTAATGGCTGGAGAGGAATAGGTGGAAAGGTATCAACAACATCATACACATGGTTTCCATGGTTTCAATGTGTTTGATGCCATTCCATTTGCTCCGTTCCAGACATTATTATGAGCCATCCTCCCCTTAGCAGCCTCTACAAACGTGTGTATATTTTATATATTTATTTTTAATTTCACCTTTATTTAACCAGGTAAGCCAGTTGAGAACAAGTTCTCATTTACAACTGCGACCTGGCCAAGATAAAGCAAAGCAGTGCGATAAAAACAACAACACAGAGTTCCATATGGGGTAAAACAAAACATAAAGTCAAAAATACAACAGAAAATATATATACAGTGTGTGCAAATGTAGCAAATTATGGAGGTAAGGCAATAAATAGGCCATAGTGCAAAATAATTACAATTAGTATTAACACTGGAATGTAAGAGATGATGTGCAAATAGAGATACTGGGGTACAAATTAGCAAAATAAATAACAATATGGGGATGAGGTAGTTGGGTGGGCTAATTTCAGATGGGCTGTGTACAGGTGCAGTGATCGGTAAGGTGCTCTGACAACTGATGCTTAAAGTTAGTGAGGGAGATAAGTCTCCAGCTTCAGAGATTTTTGCAATTCGTTCCAGTCATTGGCAGCAGAGAACTGGAAAGAATGGCGGCCAAAGGAGGTGTTGGCTTTGGGAATGACCAGTGAGATATACCTGCTGGAGCGCATACTACGGGTGGGTGTTGCTATGGTGACCAATGAGCTAAGATAAGGCGGGGATTTGCCTAGCAGTGATTTATAGATGGCCTGGAGCCAGTGGGTTTGGCGACGAATATGTAGTGAGGACCAGCCAACAAGAGCGTACAGGTCACAGTGGTGGGTAGTATATGGGGCTTTGGTGACAAAACGGATGGCACTGTGATAGACTACATCCAATTTGCTGAGTAGAGTGTTGGAGGCTATTTTGTAAATGACCTCGCCGAAGTCAAGGATCGGTAGGATAGTCAGTTTTACGATGGCATGTTTGGCAGCATGAGTGAAGGAGGCTTTGTTGCGAAATAGGAAGCCGATTCTAGAATTAACTTTGGATTGGGGATGCTTAATGTGAGTCTGGAATGAGAGGTTACAGTCTAACCAGACACCTAGGTATTTGTAGTTGTCCACATACTCTAGGTCAGACCCGTCGAGAGTAGTGATTCTAGTCGGGTGGGCGGGTGCCAGCAGCGTTCGATTGAAGAGCTTGCATTTAGTTTTACTAGTGTTTAAGAGCAGTTGGAGGCTACTGAAGGAGTGTTGTATGGCATTGAAGCTCGTTTGGAGGTTTGTTAACACAGTGTCCAATGAAGGGCCAGATGTATACAAAATGGTGTCGTCTGCGTAGTGGTGGATCTGAGAGTCACCTGCAGCAAGAGCGACATCATTGATATACACAGAGAAAAGAGTCGGCCCAAGAATTGAACCCTGTGGCACCCCCATAGAGACTGCCATAGGTCCAGACAACAGGCCCTCCGATTTGACACATTGAACTCTATCTGAGAAGTAGTTGGTGAACCAGGCGAGGCAGTCATTTGAGAAACCAAGGCTATTTAGTCTGCCAATAAGAATGCGGTGGTTGACAGAGTCGAAAGCCTTGGCCAGGTCGATGAAGACGGCTGCACAGTACTGTCTATTATCGATCGCGGTTATAATATCGTTTAGGACCTTGAGCGTGGCTGAGGTGCACCCATGACCAGCTTGGAAACCGGATTGCATAGTGGAGAAAGTACGGTGGGATTAGAAGTGGTCGGTGATCTGTTTGTTAACTTGGCTTTCAAAAACTTTCGAAAGGCAGGGCAGGATGGATATAGGTCTGTAACAGTTTGGATTTAGAGTGTCACCCCCTTTGAAGAGGGGGATGACCGCAGCAGCTTTCCAATCTCTGGGGATCTCAGACGTTACGAAAGAGAGGTTGAACAGGCTAGTAACAGGGGTTGCGACAATTTCGGTGGCTAGTTTTAGAAAGAAAGGGTCCAGATTGTCTAGCCCAGATGTTTTGTAGGGGTCCAGATTTTGCAGCTCTTTCAGAACATCAGCTGTCTGAAATTGTGTGAAGGAGAAGCGGGGGGGGGGGGGCATGGGCAAGTTTCAGCGGAGGGTGCTGGTGGCCGGGGTAGTGGTAGCCAGGTGGAAAGCATGGCCAGCAGTAGCAAAATGCTTGTTGAAATTCTCGATTATTGTAGATTTATCGGTGGTGATAGTGTTTCCTAGCCTCAGTGCAGTGGGCAGCTGGGAGGAGGTGCTCTTATTCTCCATGGACTTTACAGTGTCCCAAAACCTTTTGGAGTTAGTGCTACAGGATGCAATTTTCTGTTTGAAAAAGCTAGCCTTTGCTTTCCTAACTGCTTGTGTATAATGGTTCCTAACTTCCCTAAAAAGTTGCATATCGCGGGGGCTATTCGATGCTAATGCAGTACGCCACAGGATGTTTTTGTGCTGGTCAAGGGCAAATTTCAAGTCTGAGGAGAACCAGGGGCTATATCTGTTCTTAGTTCTGTATTTTTTGAATGGGGCATGTTTATTGAAGATTGAGAGGAAATTACTTTTAAAGAACAACCAGGCATCCTCTACTGACGGAATGAGATCGATATCCATCCAGGATACCTGGGCCAGGTCAATTAGGAAGGCCTGCTCGCTAAAGTGTTTTAGGGAGCGTTTGACAGTGATGAGGGGTGGTCGTTTGACCGCGGACCCGTTACGGACGCAGGCAATAAGGCAGTGATCGCTGAGATCCTGGTTGAAGACAGAGGAGGTGTATTTAGAGGGTAAATTAGTCAGGATGATATCTATGAGGGTGCCCATGTTTACGGATTTAGGGTTGTACCTGGTAGGTTCGTTGATAATTTGTGTGAGATTGAGGGCATCTAGTTTGGATTGTAGGATGTCCAGGGTGTTAAGCATATCCCAATTTAGGTCACCAAGCAGTACAAACTCTGAGGATAAATGGGGGGCAATCAATTCACATATGGTGTCCAGGGCACAGCTGGGGGCTGAGGGGGGTCTGTAGCAAGCGGCAACAGTGAGAGACTTATTTCTGGAAAGGTGGATTTTTAGAAGTAGAAGCTCAAACTGTTTGGGCACAGACCTGGATAGTATGATAGAGCTCTGCAGTAGATTGCAACTCCACCCCCTTTGGCAGTTCTATCTAGACGGAAAATGTTGTAGTTGGGGATGGACATTTCGGAATTGTTGGTGGCCTTCCTAAGCCAGGATTCAGACACTGCTAGAACATCAGGGTTGGCAGAGTGTGCTAACGCAGTGAATAACTCAAACTTAGGAAGGAGGCTTCTGATGTTAACGTGCAGAAAACCAAGGCTTTTACGGTTACAGAAGTCAACAAATGATAGCTCCTGGGGAGTAGGAGTGATACTGGGGGCTGCAGGGCCTGGGTTAGCCTCTACATCACCAGAGGAACAGAGGAGGACTAGAATAAGGATATGGCTAAAGGCTTTAAGAACTGGTTTTCTAGTGCGTTGGGTACAGAGAATAAAGGGGGCAGATTTCCGGGCGTTGTAGAATAGATTCAGGGCATTATGTACAGACAAGGATATGGAGGGATATGAGTACAGTGGAGGTAAACCTAAGCGTTGGGTAACAATGAAAGAGATAGCATCACTGGAGGCACCGATTGAGCCGGTCTCGGCGTGTATGGGAGGTGGAACAAAGGAACTATTTGAGGCAGTTTGAGAGGGACTTGGGGTTCTACAGTGAAATTGTATAATAAGAACTAACTGGAACAGCAATAGGCAAGGCATATTGACATGGGAGAGAGGCATAAAGCAATCACAGGTGTTATTAGAGAGAGCTAAGACAACAACTGGTAATGGAGATAAAGTTTGGGCTGAGGCTAAACAGATAAACAGGACAGGGTACCGTGTAAAGGAACAGTCCAGCAGGCATCAGCTGTGCAGCTGAGTGATCATAAGGTCCAGTGAACAGCAATATGTGAGTCCGAGAGCAGTTCGAATTGGTGCTACAACACAGCAAGCAGGAAGCACGGCTGTTGTTTGCGTGTGCTAGCGGGCCGGGGCTAGCAGATGGATCTTCGTGGTCGTCGCAACGGGAAGCCTATTGAAACCACAGACGATTACGTCGGCAGACCAGTCGTGATGGATCGGCGGGGCTCCGTGTCGACTCTAGGATGTCCCGTCCGGTTGACAGAGAGGTAGATAGCCGGGAGATGTGCCTGACTCAAGGCTAGCTCAAGGCTGATTAGCCAACAACAACGTTCATTTTGGATGCCGCTAGCTAGTTGCGATTATCCAGTGTTAAAGGTCCAGTGATTCAGTGATTCCAGCAAAGATCCGATAGTCGATAACGCGCTGTGCAGACAGTGCAGACTGGCCGATAATAGTCCAGGCTAGAGCTGGCTGGTAGGTAGTGCAGGCCACGGACAATGGTGAAAAACCGCTAACGGTGGCTAATAGCAAGTAGCTAGTTAGCTGGTTAGCTGGCTACTCCCGTCCGGTAGACAGAGAGGTAGATAGCCGGGATATGGGCCTGCTCGAGGCTAGCTCAAGGCTAACTGGTGCTTGCTTCGGGGGCAGTGGTGATTAGCCTACAGCAACATCCATTCGACATCCATTCGGTTGTGGCTAGCTAGTTGCTATCCGGTGTTAAGGTCCAGTGATTCAGTTATTCCAGCAGAAAATCCGATGTTCTGGGTGAAAACCGCTAACGGTGGCTAATAGCAAGTAGCTAGTTAGCTAGTTAGCTGGCTGGCTAGTTTCAACTGGAGATTCTAGATAAAGGTGAGTAAATAATACAATCTGTTCCACATTGAGTGAGGCGGGTTGCAGGAAAGTATATTTTGTAGATGGATGAAAAGTGTGATAGGGAAATATATACGTAAAATACAAAAAACTGGCTATTTACATGGACACACAAGAGAACCCGACCGCACTGCTACGCCATCTTGGAAAGTGCATATGAGTGCATATGTGCATGTGTACATGGGTCAGGTTCAGTAAAGTGAAAAAGGTAATCAGAGCTCATGACATTTACAGTCAGAGTTAAAGTTAAAGAGAACCTAGAACTGCAGAGATTAAGTTAGTCTGAGCAGTATGACACCAGGACAATTACAGAGTAATACCCTTTATTTATCAGCTGCATTTCACAGGGGGAAACTAATGGGGATGTAGAATGAGAGAGCGAGGGAGGGAACGAGAGAAAGAGAGGATGTTGCTGACTAAGAGGAGTATATAAAGAGAAAAGCTGATTCCTGAACAATAAAAATTAACAAAAGAGTTGTAGCGAGAGAGATGAGGTAGGGATATGAGAAACACATAGAAAGAGAGAGAGATAGTCGTGTAATGTGTAGTGCTGTGTGAGTCACTGAGCTTAGAGAAAAGTGGTGCTGAGAAAGAGAGAAAATGTGTCAGAATGAGAGTATGAGACTGACTCACTGAGTCTCTGTACTGAGTCATGATATAAAACACCTCGACAGTTCCAACACATTAACAGAGAGCGAGAGCGCGAGAGAGGCCACTACTATTAAGACAAACTAAGGGGATGGGGACTCTCAGATGCCTACACTCTTAGAAAAAAGTGTTCCAAAACGGTTCTTTGGCTGTCCCCATAGGATAACCCTTTTTGTTTCCAGATAGAACCCTTTTTGGTTCCAGGTAGAACTATTTTGGGTTCCATGTAGAATCCTCTGTGGAAAGGATTCTACATGGAACCAAAAAGGGTTCTTCAAAGGGTGCTCAGTTGGTAGAGCATGGCGCTTGCAACGCCAGGGTTGTGGGTTCGTTTCCCACGGGGGGCCAGTATGAAAATGTATGCACTCACTAACTGTAAGTCGCTCTGGATAAGAGTGTCTGCTAAATGACTAAAAATGTACATGTAAAATAGTGTAGTCAACCCAAATCACCCAGTAGTGGTCTGGTGAGTGAGTTCCCCCTACTTTTATTTCAAGCATGAGTGAGAGAAGCTGTGAGAAGAGATACGCTGAGGGGTCTACCTTTCAGTCCGAACGTCCCCGAGATAGAGGGCTGCTCTCCAGTGAACTTCTTAGGAGTTTTCTGCTTCCGTCCTGGCTCAAGAGGAGAACAGAGAGCAAGAAACCGTCAAACACATGGGCCCCCATTTCCACTGGACTTCTAACTGTACCCTCACAATGCAACAAAAAGTAGAACCCGACCGGTAAGGGATTTTTGGGTCCGATAGCGATTTTAGGGAGGCTGACAAGTTTTTTGCTCCGCTCATACATAATTTTTTTATATACAGGTATTTTTAAATTGTGATTTATCAGGGGGTGCTACCTCACGCGGATATGCCAGACAGTAACAGCGTTATTTTTGTATCAAGGATGAGTGTTCACTTTGGCGCCAGTCCAGTGTTTGCACTTAAGTAGCACAGATTGCTAGCTAACTAGGCTAATTACCTTGCTGGCTAGATAGAGCCTAACTACATTAACGTTAACTAGTCTAATCAAATCAAATTTAATTTGCCACATGCGCCGAATACAACAGGTGTAGACATTACAGTGAAATGCTTACTTACAAGCCCATAACCAACAATGCAAAGTAAAACAAATAAAAAAAGTGTTAAGCAAAAAAAATTAAAGCAAATAACTAAAGAGCAGCAGTAAAATAAAATAACCGTGGGGAGCCTATATACAGGGGGTACCGATGCAGAGTCAATGTGCGGGGGCACCGGCTAGTCGAGGTAATTGAGGTAATATGTACATGTGGGTAGAGTTAAAGTGACTAAGTGAGAATGTGATGAGAACAGGGCTGCTTCCTTGGTGAAGTGTACTTTTGATTATTTACGTATTCAAATATGCTGTCACTGACTGTGGCAAGCTACTTGTCCCACCAAACTATTTTAAGATGCATGCACTAACTGTAAGTCGCTCATTGACAAAAATGTAAACATTTAAAATGTATCTTCAGGAAACAATTGAAAAAGTATAAAAATGACAGCAAATGAGCAGATGTATTTGTTCATTCTATGTATATAATATCCGCGTTTTATCTGTGGAATAAAGACTGATACAAATATTTATGTGAAAGGCTAATATTGGCCGATAATATTGGTCAACCGATTTATCGGTCGGGCTCTAACAAAAATATCATATTACTCATCATATTTTAATCTTACTGTGCCTTGTCCTCTCAGGGTCTTCATTGGGGTATGGTGGGGGCAGGCTGCTCCCCTCACCTTCGCTCTCGCTGCCCCCCGGGGTGTTGGGGGAGGTGTCAGATGAGGAGACCTGCTGCTGAGGGGGCTGGGGGTGTGTGTACTGTTTCCTCTCTCCCCTCTGGGGGGCACACTCCCCGTTCTGGGAGGGACTAGACACCTCCTGGGTCTTCTTGACTTTGAAGAACACAGGCGACGGTGGAGTGTTCTCAATAGGCCTGGACAGAGAAGACACATTGGTACAATCTAATCATAGGTAGGCCTACCTACAGTATGTAGGTAAGCTGTGTCTTACGGTGAAAATCCCTGACCCATGTCACCTTTTCTTGGCGGTCCACTTCACGGGGGTCTTACGTAGTTTGGGCTCAGCCTTGGTCTCGATGGTAGCCCTCTCGGGGTGGTTCCACAGCTTGTGCTTTTGGAGGCGGACCTTAGTGGGAAACACCGCCTTACAGTCCGGACAGCCATGACTCACCTTTTCCGCTAGGGTCACCTGAGAGACACAGTAAGAAAGAGGGATGAGGTCAAATAGAGAATGGGAAAGATATTGATACATCTAAAGTACAACATCTAATTCAACAGGTGTACACATTGACAATAAATATACAGACACCCTCGAAGATAGTGGGGGACAGATAGAGAAGGTGGGGGTGGGGCGAGATGGAGGAGGTGAGGAGGGACGATGCGGGAGAGCAGAAGGGGTGAGGAGAGAGAAGATGTGGTGAGTAGAGGGTCATGTCTTACCCCCTGGCAACGTTGGTAGTGGTATTTGAGACCGTAGATGCTGGGGAACTCTAACCAGCAGCCTGAACACGGACACTTTACCCTGGGACTCTTCTTAAACTCCTCCTTCCACTGGACCATCATGTTAGCCTGCAGAGAGGGGGAGAGATGATATATATACATGCCTTTCACACACACCCCTAGGAAGTAGGGATTAGAAGGGATAGTAGATACTCACAGGGATACTCTTGAGCTCCTGTACTTCAGCTGTGGGACGCCCCTTCTTCTTTCCCTCCCCTCTTTCACTACAGGGTGTACCTGAGAGAGAGAGAAAAAGAGAGGGGTGGGGGAGATAGATAACTATTTACTGTATCATTGGTTCAATTCACAACCAAAACAGCTCCCTCCTATCACAGGCATAGAAGAGAACACAGCAGATTTAGATCACATCCACGTTTTTCTTTTTTATCAGTGTTTGTACCAATTACTGTGGAACAAAGCATAGATGGAAAACACTTGATAGTAGTGATGGGGGAAAAAATTAGATCCAGTTACACTACAGGTCAAAAATTAGAGAACACCTACTCATTCAAGGGTTTTTCTTTATTTTTACTATTTTCTACATTGTAGAATAATAGTGAAGACATCAAAACTATGAAATAACACATATGCAATCATGTAGTAACCAAAAAAGTGTTTAACAAATCAAAATAGATTTTATATTTGAGATTCTTCAAATAACCACCCTTTGCCTTGATGACAGCTTTGCACACTCTTGGCATTCTCTCAACCAGCTTCATGAGGTAGTCATCTGGAATGCATTTCAATTAACAGGGTTGCCTTCTTAAAAGTTAATTTGTGGAATTTCTTTATTTCTTAATGCGTTTGAGCCAATCAGTTGTGTTGTGACAAGGTAGGGGGGGTATACAGATGATAGCCCTATTTGGTAAAAGACCAAGTCCATATTATGGCAAGAACAGCTCAAATAAGCAAAGAGAAACGACAGTCCATCATTATTATAAAACATGAAGGTCAGTGAATACTGAACATTTCAAGAACTTTGAACGTTTCTTCAAGTGCAGTCGCAAAAACCATCAAGCGCTATGATGAAACTGGCACTCATGAGGACCACCACAGGAATGGAAGACCCAGAGTTACCTCTGCTGCAGAGGATAAGTTCATTAGAGTTACCAGCCTCAGAAATTGCAGCCCAAATAAATGCTTCACAGAGTTCAAGTAACAGACACATCTCAACATCAACTGTTCAGAGGGGACTTTGTGAATCAGGCCTTCATGGTCGAATACCTGCAAAGAAAACACTACTAAAGGACACCAATAAGAAGAAGAGACTTGCTTGGGCCAAGAAACACGAGCAATGGACATTAGATCGGTGGAAATGTGTCCTTTGGTCTGGACCGCTGTGTCTTTGTGAGACGCGGTGTGGGTGAACGGATGATCTCCGCATGTGTAGTTCCCACCATATAGCATGGAGGAGGAGGTGTTATGGTGTGGGGGTGCTTTGCTGGTGACATTGTCTGTGATTTATTTAGAATTCAGGGCACACTTAACCAGCATGGCTACCACAGCACTCTGCAGCGATACACCATCCCATCTGGTTTGTGCTTAGTAGGACTATCATTTGTTTTTCAACAGCACAATGACCCAACACACCTCCAGGCTGTGTAAGGGCTATTTTACCAAGAAGGAGAATGATGGAATGCTGTATCGGATGACCTGGCCTCCACAATCCCCCGACTTCAACCAAACTGAGATGGTTTGGGATGAGTCGGACCGCAGAGAGAAGGAAAAGCAGCCAACCATTGCTCAGCATATGTGGGAACTCCTTCAAGACTGTTGGAAAATCATTCCAGGTGAAGCTGGTTGAGAGAATGCCAAGAGTGTGAAAAGCTGCCATCAAGGCAAAGGGTGGATATTTGAAGAATCTCAAATATAAAATATATTTTGATTTGTTTAACACTTTTTTGGTTACTACATGATTCCATGTGTTATTTTATAGTTTTGATGTCTTCACTATTATTCTACAATGTAGAAAATTGTAAAAATAAAGAAAAACCCTTGAATGAGTAGGTGTTCTAAAACTTTTGACTGGTAGTGTACATTGGAAATTAATTTTGACAATATATCGTATTGTTTTGACAATTTTGTTATATTATTTTTGCACTAGTTGGTTGTACGCGCACCAAAACTCCGTATTTTTATTTCACAGTTTGTTCTTGATCTTCTTTTTAAATAGGGAGCCAATTTGTTTTCGGCAGTTTTATTTCCCTGACTGATCAAAACAAGTTTTCTCATGCTCTCTCGTCTCTGTAATAATATGCCATTTAGCAGACGGTTTTATCCAACGCTACTTACAGTCATGCGTGCATACATTTTTGTGCATGGGTGGTCCCGGGGATCGAACCCACTATCCTGGCGTTACAAGCGCCGTGCTCTACCAGCTGAGCTACAGAGGACCATATGTTACATGTTACAGGGCGGCAGGTAGTTTAGTGGTTAAGAGCGTTGTACCAGTAACCGAAAGGTCGCTGGTTCTAATCCCCGAGCCGACTAGGTGAAAAATCTGGCGATGTGCCCTTGAGCAAGGCACTTAACCCTAATTGCTCCTGTAAGTCGCTCTGGATAAGAGCGTGTGCTAAATGTAAATGTAAATGTTGAGCAAAATGTTTGGAACATCGAATCGCAATAAAGTCACAGTATTGAATAGCAATACATATATAATCGTGAGAATCGCAATCCATATTGTACTGGCACCTAAGTATCGTGATAATATCATATCTTGAGGCCCCTGGCAATTCTCAACCCTACTTGATAGACTTGGTCACAAGGGCACCGATTAATCTTCACGTGCTTGGAAAAAACACCTGCTTAGCAACAGAGCAATATAAAGATATAAAAAACTGTGTAGGTGCAGCTGTGGCAGCGGGTTTAAGACCGTTTAGCTGTGTGAGGGTGTGTGTGTGCATATACAGTGAGGGAAAAAAAGTATTTGATCCCCTGCTGATTTTGTACGTTTGCCCACTGACAAAGAAATGATCGGTCTATAATTTTAATGGTAGGTTTATTTGAACAGTGAGAGACAGAATAACAACAACAAAAATCCAAAAATGTCAAAAATGTTATAAATTGATTTGCATTTTAATGAGGGAAATAAGTATTTGACCCCCTCTCAATCAGAAAGATTTCTGGCTCCCAGGTGTATTTTATACAGGTAATGAGCTGAGATTAGGAGCACACTCTTAAAGGGAGTGCTCCTAATCTCAGCTTGTTACCTGTATAAAAGACACCTGTCCACAGAAGCAATCAATCAATCAGATTCCAAACTCTCCACCATGGCCAAGACCAAAGAGCTCTCCAAGGATGTCAGGGACAAAATTGTAGACCTACACAAGGCTGGAATGGGCTACAAGACCATCGCCAAGCAGCTTGGTGAGAAGGTGACAACAGTTGGTGCGATTATTCGCAAATGGAAGAAACACAAAAGAACTGTCAATCTCCCTCGGCCTGGGGCTCCATGCAAGATCTCACCTTGTGGAGTTGCAATGATCATGAGAACGGTGAGGAATCAGCCCAGAACTACACGGGAGGATCTTGTCAATGATCTCAAGGCAGCTGGGACCATAGTCACCAAGAAAACAATTGGTAACACACTACGCCGTGAAGGACTGAAATCCTGCAGCGCCCGCAAGGTCCCCCTGCTCAAGAAAGCACATATACATGCCCGTCTGAAGTTTGCCAATGAACATCTGAATGATTCAGAGGAGAACTGGGTGAAAGTGTTGTGGTCAGATGAGACCAAAATCGAGCTCTTTGGCATCAACTCAACTCGCCGTGTTTGGAGGAGGAGGAATGCTGCCTATGACCCCAAGAACACCATCCCCACCGTCGAACATGGAGGTGGAAACATTATGCTTCGGGGGTGTTTTTCTGCTAAGGGGACAGGACAACTTCACCGCATCAAAGGGACGATGGACGGGGCCATGTACCGTCAAATCTTGGGTGAGAACCTCCTTCCCTCAGCCAGGGCATTGAAAATGGGTCGTGGATGGGTATTCCAGCATGACAATGACCCAAAACACACAGCCAAGGCAACAAAGGAGTGGCTCAAGAAGAAGCACATTAAGGTCCTGGAGTGGCCTAGCCAGTCTCCAGACCTTAATCCCATAGAACATCTGTGGAGGGAGCTGAAGGTTCTAGTTGCCAAATGTCAGCCTCGAAACCTTAATGACTTGGAGAAGATCTGCAAAGAGGAGTGGAACAAAATCCCTCCTGAGATGTGTGCAAACCTGGTGGCCAACTACAAGAAACGTCTGACCTCTGTGATTGCCAACAAGGGTTTTGCCACCAAGTACTAAGTCATGTTTTGCAGAGGGGTCAAATACTTATTTTCCTCATTAAAATGCAAATCAATTTATAACATTTTTGACATGCGTTTTTCTGGATTTTTTTGTTGTTATTCTGTCTCTCACTGTTCAAATAAACCTACCATTAAAATTATAGACTGATCATGTCTTTGTCAGTGGGCAAACGTACAAAATCAGCAGGGGATCAAATACTTTTTTCCCTCACTGTACATGCATGTCAGTGTGTACGTTCATCAGCATGTGTGTGTGTGTAAAGGCCGTTTGCTGAACCAAATAAATCACCTATACATCACCACAACCTCTGACACAGCACACAGAGGATTCTCTCTCCCTCTCTCTCTCTCCATATACCGCTTACACCACTTTCTCCTTATCTCTCTCTTTTCCCACTCTCTCTCTTTCTCTACCTCTCATTCCTTCCAGAGGGGAGGATGTAAAGGAAAAGGAAGAGAGGCAAGAGAATGGGAGACTCTCCTGTCCTGCTTTGCCCATCCAACCATGTCCCAGGCTAGTTCCAGTCTAAAGATCCTGACAATTACATCCAGTCACCTATTCAACGTCCACTATCTTGACAGTCCTGAATCAAATAAACTGCCCTTGACTGTACTATGAACAGAGAGCTCACATCTAGATCTGGGCCTGTTTCTGTCTGAAAGGATTACAGAAGGGTTAGAGGATTTCAGTTTAAGTGACTTGACTTCATGTGATTATTATTTATACTGAAACACCATTTGATAGCACAGGGATTTTCCTTAGCCCTCAACCACTCTCAGTAAACATAAGGTAAGGTATGAGAAATTACATGTAATCTTTGATTGGGTACTGATGGTAATGATGCAGAAAAACTGATGATATTCTTTGGGCATAAACATTTCCCCATTAGCTCTCTCAACTATTGCTGTCTAAACTACTGTTTGCACACATAGGCACCCTC